TTAAAAACTCCTATTTTTTTTAATAGATGGGAGAAATGAAAAATAATAAAGATAAAATATATTTATGTTTGATCAAAATTTAGCTTTATTCACAATACATATTATTTTTGTGTATTTATAAATGTTAGAATACAAGTCTAAATATTAAATTCGATTAAAAATATATTTAATCCTATATTTGGCGTAAGTCAAAATCTAGTGTTTAGTTATTGGTGTAAAGAATAATATATACATGCTAATTACTCTTTTTCAGTGAAATATTATTGAAATTATTTTTTTTTCACTTCTTTCCCAAAATATTTTAAAGCTTTTTTAGACTTATGAGTAAAAAAATTTGATTGATTAATTATTATCATTTTTATTTTTCATTTGAAATCCAATTTTATAGAAATCAATAAATTATCAAAAAAATTTAAAAAAATGAACAAAAAAATGAAAGGGTGAATTTACCAAATAACACTATTGGAATGAAAAATGAAGAATATAGCTACGCACATGATATATTTTAATACTAAAAAATAACACTAAAAAATAGACCATTCTACCCCACGTTGGCAGAGAGCATGTGGGAAATTCTGGTGACGTGTTGAAGGTGCTTCGTTAACGTGTCATTCAACCCCATGAATTATTGCTTCGTTTGAGTATTTGTTATTGTTGTTGTTGAGATTAATGAGTTAGAGATTGAAGTTTTAATCAGGCAAAGTCGAGACGGAAACAAGAGAGAGCCTTATTTGACCATAGGCAAAGACGTCGAAGCAACGAAATAAATTATAATGAAGTTGATCTTAGGTAAGTTTTAAAAAGAATTTATCTTCAATCGCTTGTGCCAATTCTGATATATTTACCCTTCACCTCACCTCTCTTCTTAACCAATTAAACACTCCAATTGTAAGATCCAGTTGCAGGTGAATGTGAATGCCATTATCACATAGACACACCGATATAGTACAGATAAATAGAACAGTCATGAAAGACATAACACAGACATTTACAATTTATATCTTTCTCGAAACATAGACCTCAATCGAACCATCAGTATCCAGATTATGCATATGTCTCTGTTCGATCTCGAAATTCTACCATAAGAAATGTCTCTGATGAAGATGCAAAAGCTATAGCGGAATTGAAGATGATCGCGGATTGTATGACTTCTTCTGGATACGGCTAGTGAGGCATATATGACCACAAAGAACACAAATCAACAAATTCACTAATCAACAGATTCAAATCGTACGGATTCAATTCGATATCTTAAAAATGAAGAGAATCTATGTAAATCTGGTTTTCTCTCGAGGGAAATGGATTTGGTGGAAGAAGGATCAAGGGTTTTGGGAAGATTGAGAGACTCTGATTTCGCTTCTCGCAATTTGTTCGGGGTGTCCACGTTTTACTGGAAAAAAACAACAACAAAGGAATTGGATGAAGAAGACGAAGAAGATAAACGAGTTATTGGAGATAGAAAAAAAGATGATTTATTAGGCACGTTATTTTCGGTAATATTGTAGAATAATATATAATATCCTAGCCTAAGTCGGATATGGTTATTTATCAAATTATAATTTGTTTGATGGTTATTAGGCATAATTTCCCAAAATGAAAAAAGCTAAAACTTTCTAAAAACATTATGAGTTCTATTTAAATACATAGCAAAGGAAATTCTTTACACTTATAAGTATTTTCGGTTATTTCAAGTTTGCAAAACCAACATTTTCCTGTTAAAATAAGGTATGCTATCAATGACTTATTTGTTGTTTCTTGAGTAATTCATTATTTAATACTAATGTATTACCCGTGCCCTGCGCTGAATTTTTTATATAAATAATGATCTTTAAAGAAAATAAAAGATATTGTTCATTTGAAAGATTTAAAATCAAATATTAAAATCAAGGAAAAATAGAAACTACATCT